AAAGTTTAAACTTTCTCAATAAGAATAGCAGAAAGTTGCTTGCCTTTTCAGTCTCTGTCATATATACATGAGCTAATCATGTTACTCTTGGAAATTAGAATAGAATAGAATTCTTTATTGGCCAAGTGTGATTGGACACACAAGGAATTTGTCTTTGGTGCATATGCTCTCAGTGTACATAAAAAGACAAGACAGCCTTAGTGAATGGTTTGACCGAGTTGACGGAATTATCTGTTTAGCAGAGTGATGGCGTTTGGGGAAAAACTGTTCTTGTGTCTAGTTGTCTTGGTGTGCAGTGCTCTATAGTTTCGTTTTGAGTGTAGGAGTTGAAACAATTTATGTCCAGGATGCGAGGGGTCTGTAAATATTTTCACGGCCCTCTTTGAATCGTGCAGTTTACAGGTCCTCACTGGAAGGCAGGTTGGTAGTAATTGTTTTTTCTCCAGTTCTGTGTCTGTCTTGTTGGGTTTCAGAATGTTGTAAGTTGCCTCCAGAAAACTATAAGTGTGCACAGAAAGGCTTCTCTGTCAATGTGTCTGTGCTTGGTCCAAAGCTGATCTTGATAGTTGCAACGTGGTTTTTGGTGATAGAAAGATTGGCTGTTCTTTTTTACATAGTACATCTTCAAATTCATTTTCTGTTTAATATTTACAAATATTTTAATTGCTAAAAAAGTATCAGTGGATTAAGATTCTCAGAACAGTTGTTGCCAGCTGTTGTGGAACATATTGGACTAGAATGACCCTGTAGGTTTGAGACTATTTAAGACAGTAAAGGAGCATGGGCAAGGATTGCCTTTCACGTTTGGAAACCTGTGCAAGGGTTATAGAATTTACAATATTTTATTATTATATTTAGAAACTAAAAAGTTCTTAATCTTTTTACACGAAGAATTTATCCAAAGAAGACCATCAGGGGCATACTGATGCAGTGCTTGATCTTTCATGGAATAAAAATCTCAGGTAAAAATATATATTTAAAGATAAATTAGTGTGAATTATATTTTATTAAAAATATTTCTATAGCTCACAATGAAAGTAATGCACAGTTGTGTTCCACTACATCGAAGTAAGTCATAATTATAGATATCTGTGGGGCAATTGCCATAGATAGTGAAATTTGGTCTTTATTTCATCTTATTTAGCTTTCTGAAGACATTTTTGAAATATGCTTTTCACTTATGCAGGTTTATTAATTTGTGTGGCTTAATTTAATCACTAGGAAGCCATAAAATTGATCTTAGATAACAGAATACATATTTCTCAGTCTTGGCTTAAAGGCAATCATTGCATATTTCAAAAATACAGTTCTAAATACTTGTTACTTTTTGGATTTTATAAAGCCTTACATATCTTTGCTGCTGAATGTAACCAAGACTTCATGTGCAAACACATATATTAGACAGTATCCAAGTATACAGTTTTGAAATAAGCATGGTGCTTGTTTTATTTATTTCATAAATAAACTAGCATGAGATATGCAAATGTGAAGCGTGATCTTCAGGCAGTTATGTAAGCAGTTATTTGGGATAGCCTCACAAACTTTGGCTTTTCTTGTCACAGTGATATTTTGTGTCACACAGAATCTTGAAGTAAGTTGTGCCCCAACTTGAAAGAAATTTTTGAAGACCTCTACAGAAAAATAATTGAGATCTATCAGGACAAAAAAGGCTGTAAACCTCAAGAGCCAGTCAGGGCAGTGCTGGGATTCAAGTAATTTAACAACCGGTTCTCTGCCCTAATGATTTCTTCCAACAGCCAGTTCACCTAACTGCTCAGAAAGTTAACAACCGGTGCTCCCGAAGTGGTGAGAACTGACTGAATCCCACCACTGAGTCAGGGATATAGCTTGAAGTAAAGATTTTGGGAAACAGTTAATTTTCCTAAGAGGTATCAGGCCGCAGACCAGGGGTTGGGGACCCTTGATCTATAGGCTTCTCTTACCTTGGTTGAAGGAAAGCACTTTGGGAAAATTCAGATTCATAGAAGCCAAGTGTAGCAAAGTGAAAGCATTGGCTCACAAAAACAACTCTGGAAACAGTGTCTTACAAGAAGTTTGGTGTTTGCCTTAAGTTTACAAAAACTCCACCTGATTTTATAGGCTTCTCAAGCAATATTCTATTGGCAGATCAATCAAAAATGAAACTTTTCAAGCTACAATTAAGTTGTTACATTATTGAAGGAAGTGAGAATTCACACTGGATGAGTCACTTCTGCAGGACAATATCATGCCATCAGTGTATCAGTTGAAATCAAGCAGGTCACGTTGAAAGAGAATCCAAATATACAATCAAGAGACTGGATCATGAATAATATATTATTCAGGAGAATACCTGTTGCAAATTAAGTCCAAACCTAAATCCCAGAAAAATGTGACATGGGTTGAAACCAGCAGGTGACTAAGTTGAAAGATTGGGCAAAAATTCCTATACAGCAATCGGAGGAACTGATGATCAGGAAGTGTTTGGCTGCAGTTCTTGCAGTTAAAGATGATGTAACCAGTTACGGAATCTTAAAGGGGCAGTGGGATTACACTAGCACAACCCATAAGGTGACTTCATCTGTGACGTGAATGAAACAGGCACCAATCCTAGGGATTGATGAGACCATCAAATGAGACCATTTGAAGGTGCAATAACAATCCATAGCAGGGACATGCAAAATGTCAGAAAATTCAAAAGAGAAAATACTTTTTCAGAATCTGTTTGGTTATTTACCTTAATTCATTGGGCAATCTATCTGTCACTCAATTAAAACAAAAATTTCTGAGCAGTTAGAAAGTCACTCGATTTTATTTAAAAGCAATAATTCTCCCTCCCTCCCTCCCTCTCTCTTTCTCTTAGCAACATATTTGTTTCAGGTATTCATCACTATTCTTTGGACAAGAAGGGTAAAACATGACTTGATCTAAGACCTGCCATTGAAGCTGTTTGCAAATCAATATGCTTGTTTCTTTTAGATCTGTCTTGGCAAGTGCCTCAGCTGACCATTCTGTAATTCTCTGGGACATGTCCAGGGGCACAACAGCAGCAACACTTTCTCTTCACACAGACAAGGTATGTTGATGATTCTGAAAGCATAGCCCCATTCATCTATTGCAGCAAAATAACAATAGAATATCATACAGATGTATTGCGACAAATACAATTTTGTTCTTTTTCTCTAATACTGGTTTTTTTTTTGTAAAATATAAAAAAACCAATTTCAGTCAGAGAGTTTATCTATTCTACTTGCCACTAGAAAAATTGACTTCTCATTTTCCTTACCCCTCCCTGGAAGACCTTCAGTACTTCAGTGTTAATTTCAGTAACATCATCTTCCTATTCTATGTCTAAGCCATCTAAGAAAAAGTATTTTAAGTCATTTAATCTGTATATGATTTTTGAAGAAACCTTTATATTCCCTCAGATGATCATTACTCTTTAATAAGCTAGGAAAACGAGAAAATGGGGATCTGAGAGCCTTACTAAATGAAGATTTATGAAGCAACAAATCATTGCCATGCTGTTGCGCACTTCATCTGTGAACATGGAGACAGTGCTGCAATCTCACCTTGTCTAGCACCATTGGTGGCACTGGAAATTCATTGTTGTAATAACAATGTAACACCCTTCACAGTTTTCTGTCAGTTTTTGGCTGTGCCTTTTTTCCAGAAGCTGGTAGAAACTATGTAACGCAGGCTCACCAGAGGTTTCTATCTACCAAGTTTCTAGTTCTCCTATTTGGATGTTACAGTGATGTAGAGTTTCCTTTGCTGTGACTTTGTAGTGCTTGTGTAAACAACCTCCGGATCTCTTCTCAGTCTCTAGTACACCAGAGAGCAACTAGTGAGGCACATTATTGCTTGCCCATTCTGATGATGTATCCCACCACCACCACACTAAGTTCTGATAAATAGAGACTCAATGCTGGTGGACTTTGTGAACCTTGAGGCTGAAGACATGGTCTTCCCAATGAATGCCAAGAATGGACCAGGGAGGATGTATGTGAAATTTCTAATGTTGTTTGGTGTGTCATCGGTAGACGGGATGAAGGGATAACCACAGCTCTGTAGACTTGTAGGGGTTTGTTGAGATACGGACATTGCATTGATTGCATTGTAATATGCAGCCACCCCAGAGCTTTGTTAAATGTGATACTTATAAATACATAAATAACTAAAATAGTGTTGGACTTTGAATTTTAAAACATGTATGTATGTATGTATGTATGTAAAAATCAAAGCTAATCTAGGTTCAAAAACTCAAATTGTGTTTGAATTCTAAGAGACCAAATGATTAAGTACTAAGAAGGATGGGCTTTTTTATCCACTCTATTAAAAAAGTTCTAATAGGCAGCTTTAGGGATGAAAAACTGCATTTGTGATCCCCCCCCCTTTAGAAACCTACAACTTATCATTCATTAGTTCTATTAAGTACAGGTTTAGCAGTATTAGAGTCCTAGTTTGATGAGCCAAGTAAATCTATAGAGAAAAACACTCTTAAATTTTAGATTTAACTCTGGCTAATTTTGTGAAAAGTTATTCAATCACAGCCCAGTGGGAGAAATTAATGTCAACTCCTAGTTAACATAATTATTCAAATAAGATTTGATCTTCATTTTCCATGGCTATTACTTTAGATGTTTGAATTCTAGTGAAGTTAGCTCTGTAGAAATAACATCTAATTATAAATGTTAAAACCAATTAACAATTCCAGACTTTTTGTTCTACATAATGAAGTTTTAGCTAACATAAATTTTACATGCTGATAGTTGTAAGCTATTCTACCTTAAATTAGCAGTTAAATAGATCATTGAACACTCCTTTCTGTTTGTGAAAAGAATTATAGTGGGAATTATTTAAAATCATGTACACTGTATAACTACTATTTTGATGCAAAAATATTTCAAATCTAATTCATTATTTTTAGGTGCAAACACTGCAGTTTCATCCATTTGAAACACAGACTCTAATTTCTGGCTCTTATGACAAGTAAGAACAAGCTTGTTTATTGCTTCTATCACATTATAAAAGTATAGTCCCAAATTGCTTTTTCAAGAGGCAACTGGACTTTCTTGTTTTTCTTTGAAGACATTTTTTCTTCTCATCCAAGAAGCTTCTTCAGCTCTGACTGGATGGTGGGGAATGGAAGGATTTATACTCCTTGCAGGCAGCTGGTCATTTGCATCCTTTTAGCGGGTGATTAAGGTCACCTGGATGTTTATCTGTGTCAAAGTCCAGTTGCCTCTTGAAAAAAGCACCTTTGGGACAATCATGACCTGAATGACTGAGAATCTCCATAGATATAAAAGTACAGGTGATATATAAACCATATGAATGCAGAGATAAATAATAAAATTATTACAGGTAGTCCTCAAAGTCTTTTATGACAGCCCCTCCCAAAAAAGATACTTAACAACCTTCAATAGCCACACACAAACACACACCAGTCCATGTGATAGCATTTCAAGCACTCAACTTGCATTGTGGCCATTTTCAGCAGCCTGTAGTTACAAGACCACAATTTACATCATTTTTGGCAAAACCTAGTGTTTACTTTGTTTTCAGAAACTAGTCCAAGGTCCTACAATGGGTTGGGTTTATCATCTCCATTTTTGTTTAACCACCATAAAAATATTATAAATTGGGGTTGGTTGCATAGATGACCCATTTTATAACTATTAGGACTTATGACTGTTATAAGCAGGTTCCATTATAAGTCAAGGACTACCTGTATTTCCTTCACAAGGTATTTGACACATAATATTTTGTTAATGATGTCGTCTTTAAAGCATAATAATATACTTTTGGTATGATTTATGGAAGTGTTTTTTTGAGTATCCTCAACAGGAATGGTTAACCTGATTTTAGCCTCAGGTTGAATTAGCTTTCTATGCAGACTTAATTAGAAACAAGACCATTTGAAGCCAGTAATTCCACTTACTAGGCATGCATTTGCTGTTTATTACTTTTATAACCAGTGAGATTGCTGTGACTTTTACTAATGACTCAGCTGGAGTGGAAGTATTTTATTAGGTTAGAAAAAAAAATCTGTCTCTCATGGATAAATTAATTTTAATTTATAATGTTTAAAATTCGGGGGCCAAATTTGAATAAACATTTATTGATACTTTTCAGATCAGCCATTTTATATGACTGCAGAAGTCCACAGGACAATCATAGAACCTGGAGATTTAGTGGACAAGTTGAAAGAGTGACTTGGAATCATTTTTCACCCCACCACTTCTTAGTAAGTACAATAAGTGCTTTGCATTTTGTCTTATCCATTCTAGTGTATGTATTTATGCAGGCTATGCATCATTTCAATTCAATTCGTTGTATGCCAGCCAGAGTCACATTGTTTGAGTTAGACAGCCCTAAAACCTATTAAGTAGTAAGATAGAAAGAAAATGCTTCACAGGAACAGGGGTGAGGTGCATTGCATTTGCATCTTTTCCTAACTGCATCATATACCCTCTGCTGAGCTGTGGTGGCATAGTGGCTAGAATGCACCATTGCAGGCTATTTCTGCGGAATGCCAGGAGTTTGCTCCTCACATGGCTCAAAGTTGACTCAGCCTTCCATCCTTCCGAGGTCAGTAAAATGGGGACCCAGATTGTTGGGGGCAATATGTTGACTCTGTAAACCACTTGGGGAGGACTGTAAAGCACTATGAAGTGATATATATGTATATCATCCAAGATTTTCCAAGGCAGCCAGCATATTTTAAGATATAAAATAATCTATGTACATTATATTAAAATGCTTCCTAATAAGTGGAAGTCTTGCTGCTTTGCAATTTGATAGTGCTACCTTTATTTCATTAAGAAATGCTTTGGTAATGTGGTGAAGTCTAAAATTTACTCATATATGGCAAGTTATGCTGCCATAGATAACGGATCATTCTGATCTGTTGCTTGCTATAAAATCAGGAATAATGGTACCTGCGTGGCTAGAGTTGGCCATCAAACATTCAGGTGCTAGTTCTTTGTGCAGTCTTTCCCAACTTCGGCACCGTCCTTTCAGCTTCCAGAATTTTCTATAATGGCCCATCAGGCTAGATGGGATTTCAAGTCCATACCTCTGAAAGATCATCAGATTGAGAAAGGTGGCCTGCCTATTGATTTTGTTTTTAAAATCTCTGGAAATAATTTGTTGTAGGCAAGCACGGAAGATGGATTTGTATACTGTCTTGATGCTCGTTCCCATAAACCAGTCTTCACAATGAAAGCTCATGACGAAGAAGTATCTGGTAAGCAGTTCTTTTCCCAGTCAAGATATCAAGGAAATTCCATTCTAGTCAGATATCTTATATAGTTCTCTTATATCATATTTTTGAGACAAACTTATATTTGCCATTCTACAGTGCATAAAGAGCATGCATTATTTGGTTGGATTCTAGGGATAGTTAAGCCCTTGAGAGATGTTGCCCTTTAAGGAGGCATTGTTTTGCCCTCTCCTCAAGAAGCCATTGCTGGATCCCACCACAATGGACTATTTTCATCCAGTATCTAACTTCCCTTTTCTAGAGAAGGTTGTGGAGAACGTGGTTGTGCAGCAACTTCTATGGGCCATGAATAAAGTTGATTATCTGACTCTTTTCAGTCAGTATTCAGACTTCGGCCATTGGCTAGAGATGGCATTGGCCAAACTTCTGAATTATCTCTAAGTGGCCGCAGGACAGGAGAAGTGCATATGTTCTTGCTCTTCTTGATTTCTTGGCAACCTTTGATATCATCAACTGTGGTATCCTTCTGGGTTGGTGTTGATTGAGAGAGGAGAGGTTCTGCGGGTTTAACCGGGCTTGGTACTCTCTTCATTCCTATTTAACTTCTAAATGAAGTCACTGAGTGAGATCATTCATTGCCATGATATCCATATCTCTGTCCTTGGCAAACTCATCAGTACTACTAATGCCTTGTTCCAATGTCTGAGGCTGTTGAGGTCTGGGAACAATAGGCTTCAGTTGAACAAGATTGAGCAACATTAGATTTTACCATCTTTGGTTCTGGATGGGGCTGTGATACTCCATAGAGACCCTGTGTTCAATCTGGGGCTTCTTCTATAACCACAACTCCTGTTCTTCCTGGGAAGCAGGTTATGTCATAACTAGGAGGACCTTTGCGCAGCTTGGTATTGTGCCCCAGTTTTTGCCTGTTCCTGGATTATAAGCCCTTGCTTAGTCACACATCCTCTGCTCATCTCCAAATTGGATTACGGTAACTCAATGCTGCCCTTGAGGATCATCTGGAAGCTTCAACCGCTGCAGAGTACAGCAAGTGCAGCTGCATGGACAGTTACATGCCCCCCACTCCGGGAAGATGAACATTATACCTTTATTCTGTGAGATGCACTGATGGCCAGTTTGTTTTAGTCACAATTTTAGGTGTTGCTTTTCATCTTTAAAGCTCTACATTGCATGGGATCAAGTTATTTGATGGACCACCTCTCTCTGATTATAGCTATCAAACCTATCATATCAAGCCGGGGGGGGGGGGTAATGCTTTGGGTGTCATCGACAAAGAAACCCCAACTGGTAGGACCCAGATGGTGTGCCTTTTCTACTGTGGGCCCTGCCCTCTGGAACATCATTCTCCTTGAGATGAGATTGGCCCCATCCTGTCTTACTTTTCAGAAGGCCCTTAATACTTTCCGTTGACTTTGGAATCCCATGAGCCTGCAAGATGATTATGTAATGTCAACTGGTTGTTGTTCTCCCATATTGTTTTTGTAATTTGGGGTGTGTGTTATATGGTTTTAATTGTCAATATATTGGTAGACCACCCAAAATTATATTTCATGAGCCTAGTGACTTCATAAATTAATAACTTAAATAGAGTTCTTGTTTTTTAGTATTTTTGACAAATGAAAGAAGTATCTTTATTTTTACCAATGCCAATGGAAGAAGATGCATTTCAGTTGGCATTGCTGCACCATGGATGTGGGGTGCCTTTAAATCAGAGACCCCTTAACCTAAAAGAATGAGGCCTACAAGCAAGTTTTCTTCTGTTTTCTTCCTGATTTAATACTAAAAGCACCTGCTTATGTTTTCCAGGACTACAGTTAAGTAGCCAAATCAAAGGATGTCTTGTCACAACATCTTCTGATAAATCTGTGAAAATTTGGGACATCCTAGGAAACAAGCCTTCTTTAGTCTATTCCAGAGATATGAAAATGGTAATTTTTCCTGCAGCTATATTTATAGAGCCTTATTTGGGGGGGGGGGGGGGAGAGTGAGTGCAGAATAAAATTGGTGGGAAACCTGGTCTGTTTAATATTGAATGTTACTAAATTAATATTTATGTTGCGAGTATGTTGGTTACATTAATACTTACATGAGACAAATGGCCTACATTTTATGAATTGTATTTCCTCTAATACCATGATGGCAAGCCTATGGCAGGCATGCCAAAGGTGGCATGCAGAGGCCTCTCTGCAGACACACAAGCTGTTGCCCAGCTCAGCTCCACTGTGCATGTGGGCATGCCTCCCGCCGGCCAACTGATTTTCGGGTCTTTGCTGTGCATGCGAGAGCTGTTTGAACAGTGATCTGGGGTTGCACGCCCTCCCTGCGCCCCCTTTTTGGTCCCAGAAGGCATCAGGGAGGTCTGCTAGGCCCAAAACAGGGCGTGGAAGGTACAGTGCATCTCCCGTGACCTGTTTGTGATCCTGGGAGGCTAGAGAGCCAAAATGGGGCACAGGGGGTTGGTCGCACATGCATACACAGGGGGGCGCACACGTATGCGCAGGGGGTTGGGCGTGTGGGGTGCGTGTGTCACATGCACATTGTATTATGGGTATGGGCACGCTTTCGGCACGCGAGGACGAAAAGGTTAGCCATCACTTCTCTAATACATAAAAGTCTAAAGACGTTGGATATGCACCTCTTTGATTTTAGTTCACTGATTTGGATTAGAAATGTGTTGTTGAGATGTATTGTATTGAGTCAGCAGAAAATCAGAAGAGAATGTGTCTTCTGCCCACAGGGTTCCCTGTTTTGTGCAGGTTGCTGTCCAGATCTGCCATTTGTTTATGTCTTTGGAGGAGAAAGGCAGGGACTACAACTCTGGGATATAAGCACAATTTCCGCAGGTGACTGTTCTCATTCATTTACTAGTTACGTAACCCTAAGAAAAAGATCAATTTCTTCTTTAAAATTAGAGTTTTTAATACCTCTCTCTTTTTGGCATTACAGTGAATGATGTTTTTGGAACTCGACAGAGGCTAGCAGTTACCACATCAAGTTCTGAAGCAACTAATTCTGCAAATAGCAGTAGCAGCTGTGGAGGAGCTGCAATGGAATCATGAAATAAGCTTATGTTTTTTTTAATTAACATTCTAAGTAAACCGATTTTTTAAACTTGCTTTTAAGGTCATGTTACCATGAAGTTTGGTCTTGATCTTAAAATTTTTCTGAAGTGTTAACCAGCTAGAAATTGGAATATGCCAAAACAAAATCACTAGCAATAATGTAAGAAATTACTCTTAATTTGTTAATTTGTATTAAGAAAGATAAATGTAGGCATTCTGATGCATCCACTGAAATCCTTTGACATTGGCTTAAAAAGCTACTATTTAAAAACAGTTTTCTGAGAATCTAAAGGAAGCTTTCTATATTGTGTAAGGTTTAAAGTGTGGTGTTGTTAACCAGGATTTGATAACTTGTGAGAGCATGATTCTCTGGTCTTATATAAATATATTATATTTATAATATAGGCATGTGCTAATTAATAAAATCTAATTGGCATAAATAAAAAAGCTAAGATTAACAATATTGGGTTCCCCCTCCCTTCCATTTGTATTCAGTTCTTGGAGAGTGCCTGGTTTTTCAGAAATAGTTTGCCATTGCCTCCTTCCTAGGCTCGGAGAAAGTGACTGGCTCAAGGTCACCCATCTGGCTTCATGCCCAAAGTGGGACTAGAATTCATGGTCTCCCAGTTTCTGATGCCTTAATTACTACACCATGGCTCTCGTCTCTCTGATTCAGACCATTAATTTAATATACTTCTACCTAGGAGAACTATCAATGTCAGCATAGTTAATATTGGCTAAAGTTCATAATGTATAGATAAATGAATGGTTTAATAAAGCAAAAATGCTATGGTGAAAAATTTTTTTTATACTGGGGGAAAATTCAAAGGAGAAAAAAAAACCAGTACACACATTAAAAAGCAGTATTTTAATTTTCCGTAAGAAAACAAATCTTAATGATACCTTCATTCCATAAATATATTAGCAGCAGAATTTCCCTTTCAAAATAAGTGGTTATCGGTTGCAGTATAGACAAGAGTTACATGAATAACCTTTGTATGTAAAATCCATGCTAAAACTAAGCTTGCATTTCAAACACAAGCATTAGCATGCCTTACTCTGATTCCCATACTATATTTTTCTTTTCTAATTCTTTTGGAATGCTCAGTTGTCAACAAATGAGCAAATATTTCATTGATATACAACAAATATCAATTTAATGAACTAAGTTAAGCTACAAACTTTTTTCCAATAAAAAACACTTTATTGTAATGAAAAAAATTTGGTTTGTGCATACTTTCACATTAAGTATACCTTTAACAGAGACAGCTGATGCTGTTTCAGCTGTATCCATCATGCATCAATCAAGTCACCAATGATACCATTTCAATGGATGAACATAGTAATTATATTGTTTTAATATATGTAATGTTCCTGGCAATCACTCTGGAAACAGATAAGCCATTTTCATTATAGATGAGAATTTGGCCACTGAGTATAAATTTAAACAAACAATAATTTTAGGAATTGTCTTATTTGTGACAAGAAAGTGTATCAGTTGTCACATACATGGTGGTTCTGAGTTGGCAATTTTCATTTGTTGTAGAATTTATCAATTCTTCTTCCTCTGAAGAATCTTCCTCCTCTTCTTCTTGGGCTGAGAGACTAAAGGTTGGTCCTTTACAAATTTTTAGGTGGCGAGTAAGGTGGTATTTTGTTAAATAAGCCTTGGAACATTTTTCACACACATAATCCCTTTTTCCTTCGTGAGAGTTTAAATGTTTCTTTAGGTGATTTGTCCTTAAGAATAGCTTCTCACATTGTGGACATTTGATTTGACGCTCTCTAAACAGGAATGGGTATGGAGAAGAGAGACGGCATTTTAGTCTTGAGAACATGAAAACAATTTTTTTAATATTTGAGAGTTCTTTTGAATTTGAAGGCTTGTGAGACATAGATTTCACACAGTTGTTCTAATCTTAAATTTCCCATTTAGCAAACATTTTTGCATGCATAAGCTTTGCATCATCCACACAATTAACACTCGGTGAGAAATAACCTAGAAGTGCTCTTTGTTCAACATCATATACTTAGAATTTCAGTGTTACAGATTCATCCTGGAAGAATTCCTATCTTCTATTCCAAATAATTTTATATATGCCATAGTCAACATTGATCTCTACCACTCATCATGGGTTATGCCTCATATGCTTTTTTTATAAGATAGAATTAAATATAAGCTTATCAGCCTTCATCTTGACACTATTAACTATAATACATTTTTCTTCTGATAAATCTGGGTTTCTTCTGAGAACTGTACTATCACTATCATGAGTCTTTTAAATATGGACCTCTTTAGTTTGTGGGCAATAAATTAAACACATACACACACAGAAATAATTTGGAATGTCTCCTGAATGACTCACTGTGTATGGGTGAGCACATGCTGCTTGAGATCTTGACGCCGCATAAATAGTTTATCGCAATAATCACATTTCAGATTTTTTTCTCCAGTGTGGATAACCATATGTGTCTCCAGGTGTGCCTTCTGAGTAAAAGATTTTTCACAGAGTGCACAGCGATAATTTTTTTGACCTGAAAATAAGACATAAAGATTTACATAAGATTATTTCATCCCATCCCATCCCATCCACAGAATAATAAATATAGATTGAAATTCCAAGGTATCAACATGTTTGATATTACAGTAGGGCTATATAATAGATTTCAATGCTACAAGTAACTAATGGCATGGAATATGAATGAATCTCATGTTCTGCCATAGACAACAAACTAGACACAACTCTACAATTTTCTAAAGATTTCCCAAGTTGCTTTTCTAAAATTGCTAAAGATTCTATGCTCTTTATTAAGTTCTTTTAATTTCATACTTCTTCAACTGTTTATCTCTAGCAAAAGAATGAATGAAAAATAGTTTCCTAGTGATAAACAGTCACCTAAAATTTTGGGATCTCACATCCAAAATCAAAATCCAATTGGTCTCTAGTATTGTATGTCACATATATGCAAATAAATATGCAAATAACAAGGCAACACAATATTCCATTCTAAGAAGGAACAAACAAGACCAATCTTCACTCTGACAGAATAGTGCAGTTGGTTCTAAATATTTGTTTGGGGAAAAGAATTTTAAATGTTGTTCTTCCTCACTTACCTGTATGAATTTTAAGGTGGGTACGCAGATTGCTAGGATCACTGAAGGCCTTGCTACAGAAATCACACTTGTGTGGCTTCATACCTATATGCCCCATGAAGTGAACATGAAGCTTAGAAGGTGATATAAAAGCTTGAGGGCACATAGAGCATTTCCATTTCCTTTCCTTACTGTGTCCTGATCCAGGGGTACTGCTGTGTCCCTGACTGGGGAAGTGGCTGTGGAGATGACTACTCAGATGGACCTTAAACTCTGCATAGGAGGCACATTCTTTTCCACAGTGACAAGTGTGCACATCAGGATGCTCAGGAACACCTTTAAGAGAGGTAATTGTTTAAGATGCAGCAGAAAGTATGAAGCTCCCAAATAAATAGGAAGGTAACAAAAAGCATTATAAATTTAAAAGGTATAAGCTTCAATCTTGTACTTGTTGAAATATGAAGAAAGGGAATATACTTTCTTTTACTACTACTAATCTTATCAGATCTGATAGATGAATATATAAATCAGAAGCTTTTATTCATGTCAGATTTAAGCTCCCCACTTGAATCATACTTCCAGAAGTAATTTTCAGTATGGTCAATGTTCTAGGCCTGGGAGCTACAGACTAACATTTGGAGAATGCTTAAATTAACCGCTTACCAAGCTGCCGGGCATAGTCTCGACTATAGTAAAAAAGGAGCTCCTGGTCTGGAGGGATGTCACGTGAGGTGCAGAAGTAAATCTTTCCATCATGAGGGTAGGCTACCAGATTCTGTTCTTCCCGGTTCCTATTTCACAGAGAGGAAAATCTTAAAATGTATCCTCTATATGACTTTAATCACAAATATCCCTAAATCATTTAATATTCTTCACTAAAACAATTTGCAGCAACATCACCGAACAAAACCAAATTGATGCTTTTGTACTGTGGTGCTGGAGAAAACTGTTGAGAACATTGGAAGGATAAGAACCAACCAGATGAAGTAAAGCCGTACTGCAGACTGAGTAACACTGAAACAAAAATAATCTGGACACGTAATGTGGCAGCAAGAGTCTTTGGAGAAGTCTGAAAAAGAAGCCGAAAGAAGACAAAGTGGCTAGACACTCCCTGGTTACACAAGCACAAGGTTGTAAGAATTCAAAGCAGTTACTGGAAGAGAATTCTGACATTAGATCCTTCGCGCTGCAAAGAATCAAAAAGGCAAAGAATCAAAAAGAACTACGAGGTTCACTCTTCTTCTACTTATCAGAAAAAAATTATTTTCAATTGAAGGGACTGACTGTTAAAACTATTTTATTGTCCAGGTAGAAGAAAGCAATTATCAACTTTGATGGGAGCTGAAATGATAGGGTTTTTTTTTTATTTCTTCCTAGAGACCATTCTTGTTTTACCTTCATTATGAACTTGTAGATTTTAGTATTTGATCAGCTACCAGACATGCATTTTTTTCTTTTTTTGTCACTTTTTTCTATTTTGATAAAGGTCTGATGTTCTGTTCTAAAACTGCTAAAGTACTCTAGTGGTTATTTAGTCTTATTGTGTGCACATATATTATATGTGAATATTAAAACTTGTTCCAGAGACTATTACTAAAACAAACAATGCTTTAGTTTTGGTAGGCCACACTCTCTTCCTCTGAAGATGCTAATCAGCATTCATGCTGCATTACCTGTTTTTATAATTTCAACGAAAGATGAACAAAATGTCTTCCACATGAAGTATCAAATATTCACAAAAATAAAAAGAATCTACTCAGTTCTTCTGCTCTTTGAATTAAATATTTAAGTTTCTGAATTTTAAATCTTAAACTAAGACCCAAGAGCCATGTGTAGCTTCAAAATACCAACATCATTGCTGACAATTGTAATTTTAATATGGCTGAGTGGAAAATATTTTACATGAATGTGGAAAAATGACATCAACTATATATAAATTATTTTACATTTTTGTCTAACTCCACCCACTTTTTAGAGTGCAGGCCAAAGCATACCATTGACCGCACATCCCTGTACCAGATGAAGCCATTCTGTCTCACAGTATAGATGATCTACCATCTCTTTACAAAGGGCACCTAAAGCATTTTTCAAAATATAACGAGGTATAGTTAAGAAAGACAATATTTAAAAGATCACCTTAGACAAATTTTTAAACAGATCTGTAAATTCAAGTTTAGCTTTAAACAGATCTCAAATGCTTTTCAAATCTCAAGTCGTCCAATACTTCAAGGGCTGTCACAAGGAAAAGAATGTGCATTTATTCCTGTGGCTCCCAAGGATAGGGTGAAAAACAAGGGGTTGAAGCTTTGCCCAGATACCAACTCAAAGGAAGAATGAAGATCCTGACTCAAGCAGTTATTAAACACTTCCTCCTGGAGTTTTTGAGGCTCCGTCATAGGAGGTTTTCAAGCAAAGGTTGGACAATCATTTGTTTGGGATGGATGAAAATTCTTCTTCTGAGCAGAGCATTGGCCTAAAAGACCTCCAAGATGTCTTCCAACTCTACAGGTCTATGAGCCAGGCATCTTAGCTGCAAAAAAATCTACTGACATGGCTCCAGTTAAGACTAAATCAAGAAAATATCATGAAGATATTAAGATACCTGAAGACTACCCAGATAGATACGTTTTTCTAATTATAATACATTCAATCTACCTAATGATCTAACAAAATAATAATGCAAATACATGCTGAATCAGTCCCACAAAACATCTGATTGTTAATCCAATCCTGCAATAGTAGATTTTGTTGAAATATAAAATGAAACTATCCCAGAGAACTAGTTTAGTGTAGTAGTTAAATGCATCAGGCTAGGAAGACCATGAGTTCTATTTCCACCTTAGGCTTGAAGCCAGCTTGGTCAGTTACTTCCTCTCAGCCCTAAAAAGCAGGTTGTGGCAAACCACTTCTGAAAATCTTGCCAAGAAAACAGCAGGGACTTGTCCAGGCAGTCACTAGGAATCAATGCTGACTTGAATGCAATTAAAACCAAAAAACCTCAACCCTATTCCAAGTCCAGACTTTTTTTTTTCTTTTTACGACTCTATAGTCCCTTAATTTGGGTTAAAGTTGGGGCGACTAAATGGAACGGAGTATTTACTGGCCTTCCTGAGGCCTACATGGAGTTTGCAGCAGATATTTTTTCTCTGCGCCCTAAGAGAGAAACATCTGCCACTACCTAGGATTGACCTGTCAACCTTCCGAGTAGGAGGCCAGCATGTTCATCACTAGGCCACCACACCACTCATTTCAAATCCAGAATATTGAGGAATAAATATTTAATCTTTTTTTTTTAAAGAAAAAAGACAGTATTATGTTATAAAATATCTAGTGAGATATAATAGGATTATCATGTAATTACTTAGAAATCTTTGTTGTTGGTTTTTGTTGTTGTAGTTTTATCCTTTTCTCACCTGGCCTTCCGCACAAACATCATCCAGTTACATTCATTTTCATCCGTTGTGATGATGTAGAATTCCAGGACATTATTGTGATACATCTGAAAGAAGATAATCAGAGCCATCTCAGATGGTTAAAAAATCTTCCAACTAAGTGAAGAGAGCACCTTAACATGAAGTTGTTTTGATTAGTCATCACTTTCTTCAGGCAAATTACATAAGCACAAAACATATGGTAACAGTCTCCACCAGTTGTAGGTTCCGGTATGCAACCAGTATGCTGCGCATGGAGCCGGGCGTCGTCAGGCACACGCGCTGCGCACACATGCACACGCCCCCCTGCGACACCCAGCTGCTTGGCGGAGGTCACGCAGGTGCTGCACGCTGTGTGTGCATGTGCAATTGGGCCGTTTCCGTCAAAAAACAGTAAAGAACAAGGGCGGGCAGGTGGCCAAATGAGCCACCGTTCCAGTACAGTGGCTGCTGCTCCCAGCTACCACCGGTACGGCTGTACCAGGCCGTACCACCCAGAACCCACCACTGGTCTCCACTATCACTTAAAAAATCAGAACAGTACATATAGACATTTGGATGAACTTCTGTGCCAGGGGATTGTTTACTTTGTAACAAGGTACATTCTCTTCTGTCCTCAATTTCCAAAGGGCATCCTCTGAACCCTGGTACTTGGTAATGAGTTGATGGAAGGAGGACACCAGCAGCAAAGACCACAGTGATAAATGCTGCAATGCTTAAGATAACATTCCTATCCCAAGCACTATTTATTTTCCATCTGTCTTTGGAAAATATTTTTCTGTATAAGAACAGGATAGTAAATCCATAATCATTTTATTCATAATCATATTTATTAACAAAATACTTTTATCACTTATTGTAATAAATGTAGTGTCCCAATTTTGTATGTGAAGAAGAGCCTAGTGCAAAAAAGTTTTTGTTTTTTTTTGCTTGGAAATGATTTAAAAAGAGTATTACATAAACCGACCTTCCAAATGTGATTGGCTGCTTTGTCTGTCCAGTCAGCTACTTCTATTGAATGACTTTGTTGACCAATGAGTGGTCCAAAGCAGGTACGGACAGGAATAGTTTCCCGAGTCCACACACCTATGAGCAATTGGGGGGAAAATTGTAGTCCTCTGATTACACTTAATCAAATCCAGTAATAACAAGCAATATAGTATAAGTTTCCCTGCTTAAGGAAAAACAAAATGGAAATCACAGAAGCTATTATATTTTTGTGAATAAACCTATAAAGGATATTGCATTGATCCACTTTATTCTAATATCAATTCATTTGAGGTGACTAAAATGACTTGTGAAAGTGAGATTGGGATTTCTTGCACTTATTAAAGATTTCACACTGTTTTTGGCAAAAACCAAAAAAAACAACAACCCAGAACTCCATAATATTTTGTTATAACATTCCCATCTTCAGAAAGTAGTGCTCTAAGAAACCCAATAAATGACAAATAGTGAGATGGGCAGTGCTTAAAATTAATATATAACTAAAACAAAAGCTTCAAGCTTCTTATGAATAGTGCCTCAGTAACAATGTTTGATTAAGCATTAATGAAATCACATTATATTTAAGTTTCATCTAAAAATAGAAATAATACCAAAAATAACTAAACAAGAGTAGCTGAAAGAAAAGGGTATTTCTGAAAACCAATCTAGCAAAGTAAAATGTAATAGAATATAAATAATATATAAAATAATATATAGTAAGCATATATAAAAACTCAAGTACAACTATATTATTTTCTATGGCTACCTAAGCCTATTTCCATTCACTGCTAACCCAAGAATCATTACTGAAGTAAAGGTAATAGTCATACCTAAGGAAGGAGTTCCAAGGCAAGTTGATAATTGACAATATTGTCCACCTAAAAGAAAGCAATAATTCTCCATTACCATTAATTTGCACATATGAAATGTTGCTATTAGATTGAGAGATAAAATAACATGGTGCTAGATTTTCAACTTTCTTTTTCAAAGCATCTCTTTTTTCAGAAACTGTTAGGCTTTTCAAATTTATGAAAATATTTAACATAACTGATATGACTCTAATACCTGTTTTCATAAGAATAAAGTTACCTGCAAAGGTTAGACATTCCCATTCAAGTATTATGTTTCAATGAATTCCCAAGTGAACAAAAGCCAACACAACTTCAACATGGTACAGAATTAAGTACAATGTATTTCAGGAAATCTGAATGCATATTTACGATTTATGTGTAGTTGCTTTTAAATAAGAAAACAGTGGATATAGCAGGTGAAAAAATTCTCAGTTAATTCACTGCTATTTTTTATTGTAAAATTATTTGTAAAATCTATGCAAAGTCTATAAGCAGAATAAGACAATTCCATAGATGAACAACTGTAAATGGGACAGGAAATACTGTGTTGGTAGAAGGAAGAATGCATTCAACTGCACTTCAGCAAATATAGAAGTAAGAAGTAACGTAAACATAGGGTCAGTCAAAATGGACTCAAATGTCCATACACCAATGCACAAAGTATGAGGAATAAAAAGGGTGAATTAGAAATTCAAGTAAATGAGGGCAGATACGATATTGTTGTCATTACAGAAACCTGGTGGGATGAAACCCACAAATGGAANGTTCACCAAAGCCTATTGCCACTATGACATTGTTGATCTTCATTATCCAAATGGTTACCTTTAAAGCAATGTCTGCTGTTTAGATGCAGAATAATTTATGATATGCATAAATTCCTGTTTCCCCTCAGAGTGTAGTCATTCATGACAGAACTCTAGACATGTTCAGAGACACTCACCTAAAAACTGAGGCATCAGAAACAGATTTCTGGGATAAGCCCCAGAATCATTTGGTCATTTATACGAAGCCATACCCACATGCAATGATCCCACCTGGGATGCATCAGCCGGCGAGGCCGGGCCTACGAGGGCCCGAGTGGCGACGGCCTTCTTCTTCTCCTCCACATCTGGTTCCTCTTTTCCAGCTTTTGTCCTCCAAGCACCTTCCACCGCCGAGCTTCCAGCATCAGTCTAAGGCGGACCCAACAACCTCCCGCAGCACCTGAGCACAGGCCGCGGACACGCCACCGCCCACCGCCGGAACCAAAATCGCCTCATGAGGTACCCGCCGGACCTCGGAGAGAGAAGAAAAAAAGGAGAGGCGGGGGACAGAAATAATTAGACCACCAACCGCGCAGAGCGCCCCCCTCCGGAAGGGGCGATTGTGAAGCTGTGGACGGGCTCCTCCTCTGGAGAGGGAGGGGGCGGGATCAAAAGCGGTACAGAGATCACTTCCGGTTTGTGTCCTGATACTGGAAACGCCCCCTGCCGCTGCTCTTCTCGCTACTAGTCCATCCTCCCTTTGCTGTAAACGCAGACGTGATGTCCTGCCAGCCGCTCGCGTAAACTTCGTGTTGTGCTGGCCGGCAGATTTCTGCTGGGTTTTGTCCTCAGACCTTCGTTCCCAACGTGATCGGCGCTGCCTAGAATACAGAAAACGTTTTCTGACGAAATCTGCGCAATGTAATACTACGGTTTAAGCTCCACTGAAAGTTACTGGGAGTTAAACCGGCAGTCTGGTGTGTTCTTTAGAGCAGAGTTTCTAAAACGTGGCGGTTTTAAGATGTGTGGACTTCAACTCCCAAAATTCCCCAGCCAGCTTGGATGGCTGGGGAATTCTGGGAGTTGAAGTTCACGCAGCTTAAGGTTGCCAAGATTGAGAAACACTGCATTAGAGTACAAATCAAAGTTATATGTTATTTTAAAGATATGAAAGTCTTAGTTCTATGATGTAATTAAAATGGTTTCTACGGTTTTTCTATCACATAAGACCCCAGGATACCTTAGTTAAATTTCATTTAGTTTATATGCTATGTTAATTGTTATATAGCAAAGGCTGATTGCAATTAAAGAAAGTTATTTTTTACAATTATCCTGTTGTTTTTGTACCAAATTCAGTTATAATAACAAAGGATGGCTTCAGCTTAAAAGGAATTGGATTTTTTTTAAAGAAAAATACTTACATTGGATAGTATTATAGTCTCCTGACATAGAACCAGGTGCTGAATGTGCTTTTTAGATCCAGAGTGCAGTCAAACTAAAAGG